GTGAATTACGCGAACCCTGTTTTCGACCCCCCCCCACGGCTGTAGATGAGAACTTCATAACTGCGACATGCACCTCCCAACTCTGCAACCACATCTTTGATCTTGTTGCATTCGGTTTTGATGTGGCTGATGCTGTCTTGGTCCTCGGCCTCCAAGACTTTCTGCAGCTCGTCCTCCCAGAAACCGAAAGTATGCAAGCTTCGGTACGACTGGCACGGGGGTGCAGAACCTAACTGGCCCTTTGCATCAGCTGATGCAGCGGAAGCATTGCTGCGTGGAGCCGTCTCGCTCTGGTAGCTGCTGAGGTGTCGCTGCAGCGTCGCCTCATCGCCACGCAGTCACGCAGATGCTCTAAGCATTGCATCCTGGTCTCGCCGATGCGCTTCTCCCCAAGCAGTTGCTTCTGAGCATCTGCAGGCAAGGCGGCAAACTCCGTTTGCGTCTTTTGCCAGTCACTCAGCAGCGTGCCGGCTTGGGTTTGCTGCCGCTCCAAGTCCTTGGCCAAGGCCTTCTGAGCTCGATTGACTTCACGATCGCGATCAAACCATTTCTCCCTCTTCCTCTTTCTTCCTTTGTCCTCTTCTGCGGGGTCCTCCTCCTCGTGTGCATCATCTTCCTGCTTCTCGTCGGCCTTTGCCTTCTGCTTCGTCACGGGCTCGCTGTCTGGCTGTGGCACCAAATCCCTGACGTCGTGCAGGAGGGTGTCGATGCCATCCTGGCCCTTGGACTTCGAGATTGCCGTCGCCATGTCACGGTAATTCTCAGCACCGGCAACTCTATCGTGATGAACCGTCAAATCTCTCGCCAACTTCGCGGCGTCCTCGCTGGTCCCCTTTTTGATAGCTGCTAGCTTTGCCGTGGGACTGGACCAGCCTGACAAAACAACACACGGCAAGGCACAGACCAAAGAAGAACACGAAGGAGGCACATCTCAATATGTTCAACGGCCGACATGTTGCAGTTCATGGATGGCACGCTTATGAGGGTCCGCCAAGGTCCGTTTTCGTGGTTTTCTAGCTAGTGGAACCACCTCTAGTACCCAACCTAAGGAAAAAATGCATTTTCGTATGAGGTTGGGTCTAGGAGGTTTTTGAGGAGGTTTTGCGGTTTGAGGGTTTCGGGCTGTTTAGGGTTTAGGGTCTTGGAAATACCGACCTGGTGTACCTTCACAGGCACACTCGAGATTGGTAGCTTTGCAACACCGGCTTATGCTCCAGCATCAGCCTCAAAATGTGATCGTGGCGCAGGAGTAGTGTAACTGTTCAATTCAACCTCCCAGTCTCCTCAGAAAAAGGGGCTGCAAAGTCATGCCTTCGTGCTACGGTTTTTCCCAAGTATCCTGCAACAAGGGGCCTCCTTCATGTTTGGACATCCTGGAAAAATTGGCCGGAAACAAACCGGTTTTCTCTTCTCTGCCAAACTTAACCAGACACAGAGGGAGAGAGAGAAAGAGAGAGGGAGCGATAAAAACAATAACCTGGCGAGAATCATACATGACTGACCTGTAGCTAGATAGTGCGGTTTTGAAAAGCGGTCCACCACCCGAAAAGGAGCGGTGGACCGCTTTTCAAAATTATGTGCATCCACGGCTACCAGGTCGATCGTTATGTAAGAAGTAGGTATCCGGAAGATTTGGGAAATCGGGTATTGGTGACCGCCGGTGACAAGACACACATGTATGCTCTGATCCAACGACAAGCCACACAAACATGCAGCCAACCTTATCAGAGGCTGAGTCCGCTGCTTCTGCCTGGAAATGGAGTCGCTTTGGTCCACAAAGTCAGCAACCCGCACAGGAAGACGAAGCGGAGCATCCACTGGGCCATCGTGGTCATGCTCCAAACCCTCAGCAATGTAGGAAGCCTCCATGTCCGACCACTTCTTCTCGGCTTGGCTGTGGGACAGCCCCCCTCCTCCCAAGCTCTTGTAGAAGTCAATCGCCTGAAGTTTCCACATGAGCTGGTCTCTGCCGGTGCGTTTGGTCTTACTGGTGGCCTTGACGACCTCGATGTACTCAACGAGACTCCATGCCTCTTTGCGTGGCCCCCTGGATCCAAGTTCCTTGGCCTTCTGCATGGCGGCTGTGTAAGAGTTCAGCATGTCCTTCGTTTGTTCCGGATCGTTCAAGGTCTCGTGCAACCAAGCCAATCGATTTTGGGCTTTTGCCTTCTTCGTTATGTTGTCGAGGGCCGCCTTGCAGCCCCGACAATTAGATTGATTTAGCGCAAACTCCGCCAAATCTTTTACCATGCAGCACAGCTTGCACAATCTCGAACCTGCTTTCTGCGCAGCTTTGTGGCGCCCTTTGGACGTTCGAGGCTGAGCCTTGGGTTTCTGACCACTTTTGGGAGCTGGTTTTTTGGGGCTAGCACCTCTGGGCGGCGTCCGTGGCTGTGGCTCCAAATCGGAGTCATCATACTCCATGTCATTATCAGGCCCAGGCTGTGCACCTGCTGCAATCCACCAGAAGCCTGAGGTGACCCAGACAACTTGTAGGCAAAAGAGCAGCATGGCACACCTGCTTGACACAACACGAAAGGTCTTGTCTAGGCCGCGGGGCCGCGCAGGCGTTGACAACAGAGGCAGCTGGCGTCGACATGCAGTTGTGTCGCATCGACAGCATAAGCCTAGTTTGAACTTACACATCCTAAAACTAACACCGCAGCCACTGCAAACATGCCAGGCTCATGTGTCGAGACGTTATGTTGTTACTTTTTCTCCACACACAAGCCTCACAAAAGGTCGTCCCACATACTGGGGATGCATCCACAGAGCTACCTTGAGGCCAGCAGGCCACCACGAGGCCAGGCACTTGTCCTGGCGGGATGGTATCGGGCTTAGAGCTGAGGCTTCACAGGTCCAGCAGTGCTGGCCTTGGGTTTGGGGTGAGGTTCGGGGTTGTTGGTTGGGCTTTAGGGGAGGCTGTGCCCCGAACCGTGGACAATTTGCATCGGTTTGGGCCCAAACTAGTCCAAACACGTCATTTTGGTGTTGTTTGGCTTTGGGGTGCGACGGCTCGACCGGGCTCGACTGGGCTCGACCGGGCCCGGCTTTACTTACATATTGGGGCTCGACTGGGCTCGACTGGGCTCGACTCTACCTGGTTGTGGCTCGACTCTGGTTTTGGCGCGGCTCGACTGGCTCGACCCTCCTTGCCGGCCCAAACCAACATTCCGCGCCGAAAAAACCACACCCCACCCCAGCCTCAGACACCAAAGTCAACCCCGACCCCCAAAAAACCCCCCACCAGCTCCACACCAGTCCACCCCAGCCACACCCATGCTGTTTTGCAGTCTCCATCTCAGACAACCGGTGAACCGTGGGTTTGCTGGGCCTGGGCCTCGAAAGAGAAGAAGAGCAGCTGCACTGCAACATGCAAAGAGAGCCCCAACTGAAACCGCACAGGCATGCTTGCAAACTATTGACATCGGAAACATCGGTCTCTGCACGTGGGCTCACGGAACCCACTGATGGCCCGCCTCATCGTCGAGAGTGAAGTCGTTGCCTCACCCTGCCGCAGTTTCGCTGGTTCACTCTTATCACACGGTGTATTGCTTCAGGCAGGCCCCATTGGACCTTATTGCACCGAATGTCTTTCCGAGCTCAACCTTCCCTGGAGTTGTCCAAGTCAGACCCAACCTTGCCTTCGTGAAGAGGTCTGGAAGTGCTTCTCGACGAAGAAGACGAGAGGGTCCTGCGGGCGGGTTCTGCGACCATGTTAGCGTCAAACTCGATGAGCGGTTATCAAGCTACCTCAAGGACAATTAAGTTGCTATGTAGGGGCGGGAGGAAGCACGTTAAGCTACACAGATATGGGATGTACTCAAGCAGGTCGGCAACCCTGAGATTCGAAGTTCCGAACCACAACATTTGCTTCACGTCGGCCACCGGCCTTGCTGCAGAGCTTGATGAGCTGGAAGTGCTTGTTGACGAGGAAGACGATAAGGCCTGCGTGAGCGGATTTGTTGAAGGTTGTTGGGCTCAGTCACGGGGCGATGCAAAGGCCAGCCACTGCACAGGAACCCGGCCGAGCAACCCTGAACCCTGAGGTCCGAAAGTCTGATCCGAAATTAAAGCACGGCCTTTCTCACGAGCTCGATGAGCTGGAACTGCTGCTTGAAGATGAAGAGCACGAGGTCCTGTGAGAGAGGCAGAGAGAAAATGTGTGTGTGTGTGTGTTTGTGTGTGTGTGTATGTGTGTGTGTGTGCACGTGTGTGTGTGTGTGTGTGTTTGTATTTGTGTGTGTTTGTATTTGTGTGTGCATGTGCGTGTGGGTGGGCGCTGTGGGCGTGGGTTTGTTTTGCCAGTTCTAGTCTACTGACAACATGTACCAAACCACACCGTCACTCTCTGCTTCAAAGCCGTGTCCTGTCTGGCGAATCGCTGTCTGGGTCACTCCCAGCTTCATCGCTGGGTGGATGCGCAGGTGGCCGGGTCTGATCCCGCACTCTAGACGCAGCATGCGCCTTGGACTTTCCTTTGGGTTTCGGCTTGGCTTTGGGCGCAGCAACGGCACGGCTTTTGGCTTTAGCGCTACTGGAGGCTGCAGCACCTGCTTCACGATCCAATTCCACATCAGTTTTCGGCAGATGAGGAACCTCGACATCTGCAAGCATCAAGACAGCAGCGGAAATTGTTGATGCATCCGGTGCCATATCTGCGCTGCAGACATGATGCAAATGTTCTCGTTGATGCGTGTACATGTCATAAGAAAGGGCCCAGCCTTTCACTGCCCTGACAGCAGCATCGAGCTCTTGCGCCGAATCATTGCGGAGACCCAAAAATTTCTTGCAAGCCGTCTGCGAGCTCTTCCTATGAAAAGGACAAGTCACTTGCACCCCACCAAAACCCCGCCCTACGTTCTTTTGGGGCCTCTTGTACGTGAAGCGGAAAGGGCCGAAAGGCTCTTGCAGAGCTGCAATGATCTGCTCAGGGCTCCCAATATCGGAAGCATCAGCACTCTCTGGTTCTGCCACGTGATGACCAACGTCAGGAAGCACTGACACCGGTTCTTCTTGCACCTCCTCAGCATGTGCTTCTGAAGCATGAGCGTGCACGTCCTGCAAATCCTCAACTTCGACAGCAGCCTCCTCGCAATCTACAGACTGGTTCTCACCTACAGAATCAACTTCGTCAGCTTCCATCAGCCGCTCTAGCTCCCTCAGCACTGAGTCCGAATCCGCATCACTGCCTCGGGCACTGCCCTGACCCTCGTCTGCAACCTCATCTTGCACTGCCCCCGGCCTGGCATAAGGTGCCGCAACCAACGCTGGATGTGGCTCCTCATCGTCCACGTCGGCCATGAGAGCTGGCAAGGGCTCTTGCAGCCTCTGCAGCTCACTGATTCTTCCATGCAAGATGGCTGGGTACACCTTGGCAGGCTTAGACACCCAGTGCGGTATGGCCGGGACCTGTTCCTCCCCGTCACCTACAAGCCTGTCCGCGAGCAAGAGACAACACAGATAGCTAGAAGAAACAGCATGGGAGGACGTGTAAAAGATCTTGGGGTCACCTGGTGCAAATTTCAGGGCCTGCCTGTCACTCTTACGTTCGGGAAGTTTTGCCCAAGTGAAGCCGTTCCGCTCAAGGGCAAGAAATAACTGCATGGTGTCCATGGACTCCACATCATCAAGAGAAAGCTGCTCATCAATTCTGCAAACTGGAGTTGGGTCAGTGAGCTGCACTAGCCATCGTCCTGTGTCAGGGTCGCGTTGGAAGCCTTTGGGGGACCACTGCAACAGCTTCTCACGCACAGCGCACGACTCAAGCGACAGTAGCAACTGTGGCACAGCACGTGAGTTGATATCAATGACAGGCTCACCGTCCCCAGCAATGGGTGAATGCACGGTCACAACCAGCGAGTCTACCGGGAAGGTTGGAGGGGCAGCAATCGGGGCAGGGCCTCTTTTCAATTTGCTTGGGCGGGCGTGTAGCACCCTGAAGAACAGTTTCGACTCATCGAGCCTGCGCTCTGCAGCTTCTCCTTCTACTGGAGCTCCGACACCAGTGTTACTTACAAGCGACTGCACAGAGTAGGAGTCTTCAACAGGCAAGGAATACACCCTGCTGGTATCCGCATGTGCACGGAGGTGGTCGACAATACAGCGTCGCATGATGCTATCGTAGTTTCTCGGCACCGGTCTGTTCAAGACATCATGCAGCATCCTTGCCCTCTTGGCATCCTTATCCTTTTTTGCCTCATGGGTTTTTTTAATGGAAGCATAGGAAGCAAACTGTTCGTCGAGCTCACAGCGGTGCACAACAGTTGTGATTGCCCGAAGCCACGTCGCATGCTTGAAATCTTTGTTCATCACCAACCCTACAAACAAGGGATGCGAGCTGAGACCCAGAGCCCCTGCAGACTGTCGCGCATGCCGCGTGATGTCCATGAACCTGATGAGTGCAGCTTTGCAAGACGGGTTTGATTCAAGCCGACGAACGATTTCAGGCAACCTGACAGTCATGCTGACCTTGCTCGGTCCTAACTGGATGTGCTTTGCAGCAATTTTCACGTCACGGTGCATGCCCTCAATCACGCGTTCAGTGACTGGCACGAATTTCAGTCGGGCAACAGCCTCCTCCAACTGAAGAGACATACGCCCCTCTGCAACAAAGGTTTCCAAGGAGGCACGGAGGGGTCCCCCCGGAGAGAGGAACTCTACGCTCAAAGGATGATGGTCAGCTACAGTCATGGAAGGCTTACTGAAAGAGGCATCGTACTCGGACAGACACGCGGCAGCTGCATGCCTGGCAGCAGAAGTGAAATGGTGGCTGAGACCACACAACCGCCAAGGAATCTTCTGCCAAAACTCGAACTTTTGCACCAAGCCAAAGTGTAGGTATGTTTTCGCTAGATTAAATTCCTCACGCAAGCTTTGTGAATCTGCATTGTTCAAGGCTCCCTGCAAGAAGTCGGCACCTTCCAAAAAGCTAATGTTGAAAAGCTCTGTCAAAACCGAATCCACTTGGCCATGAGCCAATTCAGCAGCCCTTTTACCACGCATTGCGCAATCGACATGCTCAAACTTGGAGAACAGCTTTCGGCGTTTCTTGCGACGAACAGTGCTTGAAACGAAGGGAAACTTGTTTTCATGACACGGGCAGGCTTCCAACCAACCCTGAAACTTGCCAAGGACTTCGTGCACTGCATGAACCATAAACACATAGGCACAAAATTTCGATGACTTCAGAGCTGCATCCACGCCTGCTGCTGTGCCTGCATCACTATCTGCACTTCCATGAAGAAATGCTTCCCTGGACCACGCACCCCTCAATGCTTCAAAGACAGGAAGCAAAGCTTGCAAAGCTTTCAAAACGGCCTGCCATCTCTTCTCGTAAAGCCCAGACATGTTCACCCTCTCGAACAGTGACTCAAACTCAGCACTGGCGGTGTGGCGAACACAGGTCGCCAAAAAGCGTTCTCGCTCGTGGCGCACAGCCAACAAGTGCACGATGTGTTTCAGGTGCTCAAAAAATTCATTCCAAAATGGCAGTCGATTGCGCAGATCTGAGGTCAAGTTATGGATCAAATGTAGGGCACCGGGAAGGGCATTAAGGGCACGGGCTCCCCGCTAGCGGGAGCAGGATCCCCAGCACCATCTTCTGCCAACATAACGTCACCTTCCAGCGGTTGCTGAAAGAAGGCTGGCAGCAAGTCCTGCCACTTGAGCGACACAAAAGCTGGAATGCCAACCTCTACCCCCAGGTCTGTTGTCCAAGAGACAAAATTGTCTAGATGCTGTCGCAACGAGTTAATGCCGTTGCATTCAAGGACTGTGGAATGAAGGAAAGCGGAACATTTGTCCTCGATACTGACTCTTGCACTACCCATAGCTACAGGCAAGCAAGCATGCTCTTGAATGTTGCGTGAAAGGGCATTGTGGAGGCTGCCTACCTCACTCAGATCTAAACTTGTTGCCTCGAAATGTTGCTCGAAATCCTCGCGGCCCAAAATGAGCTTGTTCACCGAGCGAAATGTTTCCAGCACTTCTGCTTTGGAGCAGGACACATGGCGAAGCATCAGCCAGTCGCGACTGCTCTGCGGAGAGCTGTCAGCCCAAGCCCAATGAAATGAAGGCTGCTCTGACCACAACTCTCTGGCAAACAAGGTGAAAGCTAAATCGAGGTAGGTGCTTGCCCGACGCAAAGTCGCATCTTCAGGGAATTGCTTGCTTAGGGACTCAAGATCCAAATCGGGAATGGCCAGCTTCATTGCAAGTGGGATTGCTTTCCGAGCATTTTTGACGGAATTCAGACAAGCCCCAAAAAAACTCCATTAAACAATGTCTCTGTGGTGTGTCTAGACCTGCCATCACCTGTGAGTCCAACAGCAAACCTTTCCATCCAACCAAGCACCTCTTCAAACAGGCGTGTGTCTGCTGCCCTTTGCGTTGGCTCTGGCACGAGAGGCAACAGCCTTTCAGCCAAGGCGCGAACCTGATCTGTTACACGGTCTAGGCTTTGAGAACTGAGTGACACAGGCCCACACTACAAGGACCCCGCCGCAACATCTGGAAACTCCATGCCATCACACGATTCACTACGCCGGCTGTCTCTTGCTGGCAAAGTTTCATTCCGGGGGAAATCTCGTCCTGCAAACAAGAGGCATGGCAACGGCCAGCTGGCAAGAAATCCGATTGAACCCCAGACCCCACGTGCAATCAACGAGGCAATTGGGTCTACTACCGGGAGAGCCACGGGACCTTCAGACCTGGGATTTGGCCACCTCTGCATCGCAAACGCAGCTGTGCATTCCTGACGCATAGAAGGCCCCATCTGCAAAGAGCCCTGTACACTCGACAGGTCGGACAATTTCCAACCACTGGGAAAAAACGGAGCCAAGGGGAAATTGCGGGTATCCAGCGGCTGCGTGCCGCCGTCTTCACGCAAGCAACTGTGGACGATCAAGGGCTGCTTGAAAATAAAGGATTCAGAAATCTGGATTGTGTAACCGTGAGCGTCTTTCCCGAAATAACTGGTCCACGTGCGCAACTCTTGCCGGTTGCAAATTGAAAGCATGTCCCTGAACGTCACCCCAGGTTTTGCACACGCTAAGCCAAAGATCTTGTAGTTGCTCTGCCTTGTCTGGCGCTCGAAGCGGTGCGTCTCCAGCAGGCATTGCAAAAATCCAGAACTTGGGAAACTAAGTCTGCGTCGCTTGACCCCGCCTTCATTTACCGACCGGCGCTGATGCAAATCAGGTGCATGCACCAGCCAAAACACTGCTGCCATGGCAAAAATGAACCGCATCTCTACATATCTAGAGGCCTGCAAGTGTCAACATGTACAATAAGTTCTTGCGGTACGGACACATACTTCCAGTTCCTCTGCTTGCGCATGTTTGCTTAAAACGTCACGCCATAACCGCAAAGCATATTGGAATGCGCAAAACTAAAAACATCCTGTCCCTAGTCTAGACTTGTGGGCCAGAAACGGCCATGCCCAGCCCACGCACTTGCCGTCACAACAAGCTTGCACACACACTCCACATAATCCTGCCTACTACCAGTAGCTGAGGAAGACAAACCGAGGGCTTCAAACACCAGTTGGTTTCAAATCAAATTTGCGCATGGGAAATCTTCAGGAAAGATTGACCACGACTGTTCACAAACGGTTTGTGGGCTGCGGTTGGCCACTACAGACACAAATTCACGAAGACTGGGGGAGCCTTAAGCGAAGGGGTTGGCAGGGGTGCATTTAAGGCTGCCCATGCAAATCGGGCGGCACTGCGCGACTCCTAATATTGTGCACCAACAGTCCATCTGCACCGACCATGCCAACTGAACATCCCTCAACCAAGCTGGTGAGCACAGGACGCTCGCGGCTTTCAAGCATTTTCTGAACATCCTTCCAACTCCAGTACTGGCACGTCTTGGGCCACTCCACCGCAAAGTACGGT